GTCTCTGCTCCGACTTCCCCCGGCCGGAGTTAGTTTCTACCACAACAGCACCCCGTTCAGCAAGCTGTTTGGGGAATAAAGAAACACGCTCCACAAAGGCTGGAGGCTGACTCTTGCTGAGCAGGTGCCGTCGGCCCAAGCCGCTCGAGACAAACGGGCTTGCGCCGAAATCGCTGCGGAAGCTCACCTTACCCCACTGACGAGAGCCCCTGGAGCCCCAAGGAAACTCTTGGGGTACCAGAGGGGGCAGCCGCGAGACCCCGGGAAGCCCTCCGCGGACGCTGGTCGCGATCAACAGGTGGAATCCCCTGGAAGCGCCCTGAAACACTGGCCGACCCCAGAAGCCTTGAACCTCAAGATGTCGACACCTCATTTTTGCCTCCGTCACCCTCCGTCGACCTCCAGCCCGCGGACCAATCGCCGCTTTGCTCCTGCGACCTCCCGCCAACCTTTCGACGTCTTCCGCCGAAGGCGGGACGCGCGGAAGGCGAAACCCTTCCTAGACATCCAACAATGCATCGTTTTCGCGATGGAGCGGTTGCATGCCATGCAGCAGCAGCGGCCTGCGTGCTCAAATGTAAACCCACGCGTCCCCCCGAATGCCGCGCACGAAAAGACCACTCTCTGGGGAAGGGCCACTCTTTTGTATGGCTGGTCCAACCGGCGATGGTGAATAGTGCTGACCCGGAACAAGTGCTTCACGACCTGCATGCATATGTTCGCGTACCCAGACCCCCGACGTCATGATTTTTTCATGACGCGACCCCCAGAGGTCCCGACCCATTCCCCGGGACCGGTTTTTCGTCCTGAGTCGTTTTTTGACGGTCCCGAGGCCCGGCGAGGGCCCCCGGAGGCCGAACCTAGCGAAAAACCTCCCGTCGTGATTTTTTCACGACGCGAGGAGGTCTGGGTAGCACACTGGACGATTGCTTGAGCAACTGTCACAGCGGGGGCCGCGCACAGCGAATCCGCCATTGGACTGCGCAGGTGGACCCCACAAGTGGACGCCAAAAGTGGCGCCTCCCTATCCTTCAGTCGGGCGTGTCCCCCTACAGGGGGGCTTTTGGCGAAAAATAGGAAATGGTCAAACCATACTCCAGACTGGGAAACATCGCAGAAAATAATCCCCAAAACTATTTTTTTACTATTCTTGAATATTCCGTCTGTAGAGGGACGGGCCCGACTGAACCCTATCCAAGATTTCCCCGGATAGCACCGTGGGGGGCGGGGTTAAGAGGGCTTCATATGAGAAGCCAGCAGGCAGGGCGCCAGCTCCTCTCCGAGGCCCATGGCAGGCACCCTCGCAGAAGGCTGCTTGAACCGGCAGCGGGTCCCGAGAAGCGTTTTTCTACTCGTTCCAGATGCGCGTACCTGAAGCCTTTACGCAGGTCCTTCGCAGCACCCTTGGAGCTCCTTCGAAGTTCGCCTTTCGAGGCTTGCAAGCTCCCCAGGCATGTTTTCCAGCGTCCTGGCAGACGTTTTCTCGAAGCTTACCAGCTCCCCAGGCATGCTTTCTAGCGTCCTGGTAAGCGTCTCCCACAGAGATTTCCTGCGCTATGGGCAGCTTCCCAGCTGTTCTGGGCTTCGCGAACTTCCTCAGACCCTAGCGAGTCGTGAAACTGCTCCGACCTGTCGCGCCCTTTTATCCAGGGTTTTTCCAGGGTAGCACTCTGAGAGCTAATAGGGTCCCAGATTAACAAGCTGGAGCCCCAGAGTCGCCCCGGAGGTCGTTCCGGCTTCCGCGAAAAAAACTGGAAGCCAGCGGCAAGCCGTCAACCTGGCTACCGCCGGTGATCTCGTAGAGCTCCCCCCCGCCCCCATCCGACCCCCAATGGGTTTCGACGCGAGGTCGAGAAACCGGATGGCGAAAAGGTATTCACACTTACGGGCACACGCACACACGCACGCACGAGCACACACAACACCTACAAACACACACGCATATATACATTCTTACACACCTGAACACAAACAGGAAGCCATACGTAGGAAATCATGTCCAACACACTCACACGCAAACGTAAATACGCACACACACATACACACGCACACATACATACATACATACATACATACATACATACATACATACATACATACATACGCACATACATACATGCATACCTACATACCTACATACCTACATACCTACATACATACATACAGTACATACATACATACATACATACACACATGCATACATACAACCATACATACATAGATACATATACACTGATATATAGATACATGCATACATACATACATACATACATACATACGTACATACACAACACAACACAAACCTACACGCAAACGTTCACACACAAACGCAAACGAGCACACACACACAAACACACAAGTTCACAGACACACGCGGAAACGCACACGCACACAAGTCACACAAACACATACACACACGGGCACACACACAAACTCACGCACACAAGCGAGCAGTCACACACACGCGCACCTACAACCCACGCGCGCAAAGGCACAGACGCAAACATCCATGAGCACCCGCGCACTGACGGCCACGCAATGACGCACCCACCCCCGCCTCCTGTGCGCCCACCTAACCCGTTCCCCCCTCGCCGCTCCCACGCGCTCCGCCCCCCGCCCTTTCCGTCGGCGCTCCGGAAGGGGGAAGAACCGCAATCGTCCTCGCGGAGCGCCGGAACGGGGGGGGAGCCGACGGCGCCACCGCCGCGGGCACGCACACGCACACGCACACACACGCACACGCACGCACACACACACACACAATCACACACACACACGCGCACGCACGCACGCACGCACGCACGCACGCACGCACACACGCACACACACATACACACACACACGCACACACACACCCACACACACACGCGAACACATACACAGACACACGCGCGCACGCACGAACATCCACACGCGCCCACTCACGCGCAGGCACCCATCCGCACGCCCTTTTTTTTCGTCAGCGAGCCCCGCGCGCGGCGCAAGGATGGAGAGTCAGAGCACTGTCAAGAGGTAACCATCAGCACACACACACTCAAGCGCCCAGACACTCGCACAGACACAGTGACACGCACACGCATTCAGATTTTTTTTTGGTTGGGTCTGCGGGTCGAGAGCGAGCCTCTTCCGGTTCAGAGCTAGGCGAACCGCGCAAAACACGAATTGGGGAGACAGGGCGCGGGCGGGCCGGGCCTCAGGCGGCCGGAAGGCGCGGGGCGCAGGCGGTGCTGAAGAGCTTGCACAAGAAAAGGTACACCTTGGACAGCAGCCGGAGGCGAAGTCCCGGAGAGTGAGCGGCGTGGTGTTGCCGTCGACGGCGCATCAAAATCACCATCCTCAAGTGCTGCGTGCGGGAGGACGTGAACAGGTCGACGTCCAGGGGGAAGGAGTCCACCATGAAGGCGATGGGCAACGTGTGCCACCAAATGGTGAGGAGAGGCCCGGGAGAGGAGGAGGACCACGAAGACGATGCGCAGCGTTGTGCCACCGGGTGGTCGGTAGCGGCCTGGGGTGGTAGTCCAATCCACGTCCAGGGAGCAGCCCGGAGGTGCGGCCAGAAACAGGGCCGTCTGTGCCCGACTGGATGTCGGTGGTGTGCAAGGAGGAAACCTGACCTGCACAGTCAGCGCGTGAAGACGGGCGGGAGCCACACACGATGCGCTGACGATCGCATGTCCACGGGCACCAGGGCAAACAGGGCCGCCGAAGCGGCAAGGTGCAGTGCCCAGCACCGGGCCGGAGCCGCGCTGTGCCGGGCGCCGCCGCCAAGGGGGGGGAAGCGAGCGGGGGGGGGAAGAAGCGAACAGGGAGGAGAAAGGCCGGCATCACGCGCCAGCCGAAGTCGCGTCAGCTTGCACCGGAATGCTCAGGTGGGGACAAGCCCCAATGTGTACAGGTAGGACACAAGGTCCCATGCAGGTAAAAGAGGCTGCCACGCAAGTCGCCGGTGCACCGATGCGTCGCAGATGGGTACAGGTGGGACACAAAGTCCCAGATCCTTGAATCTCCTTCAGCCAATGGGTACAGGTGGGACACAAAGTCCCAGATCCTTGAATCTCCAACACCTCCACTCGACTGGCGAACTGCTTCCAAGAGGGCCTCAGGAGACCCCAAAATGGCCTCCAAAATGGCTCAAGATAACTCTAGGTAGGTCAAGATAGCCTCCCGCATGATCGTCTCAACTCGCCAGGGTATCGGTTTTGGATGGGCTGGTCGGGATACTTTTTAGTCAGCTGGTCGGGATACGCGACGCGTCAAGACTTGTCTCGTCCTGGCTGAAGATACAATGTCTCGGCACCCTGGGGAACAGAAGTCTGGAGCTGCCGTTGATGGCCCACGTGCTGCTCTGGAGCTTTCAGCTGGTACACAACAACGAATATAAAATTCAAGTGCAGCCCAACTTCATTGCCAGGAGTCTGGAATCCCACCTTCACGACACACACACACAGACACACGCACACGCACACGCACACGCACACGCACACGCACACGCACACACACACACACTCACACACACACGCACACCAACGCGCGAGCGCAAATACACACACACACACACACGCACAAGCGCGCACACACGCACCCACACACACACACAGACACACACACACACACACACACACACACACACACACACACACACACACACACACACACACACACACACACACACACACACACACACACACTTTTTTCGGGGGCACGCAGGTGGGGCGGCGATCCAGGCGATCCGCTCGGTCGTTCTGAGTTGCACGCCTGGCGCAGCGGACTAACGCCAGGCTAAGTGAGGCACCCAGGGACGCCCTGGGAGCCAGAAGGTGAAACACACACACACACACACTGTTTACTACACATGCTCTTACGGGAACGGCAGTACCCGCTTCTGAAGCCTCTGCCTCCGCCGCCTCCTGCTTATCCCTCATCCCTCCTGTGCCTCCGCCTCCTCCCCTCGAGGTCCACATCGATCCTCCGCCCCTGTCCGGAACGGCGGGCGGGCAGGCCTGGCAGGAGTTGAGGTTCAGCAACACAGCCTGCACGCGGAAGCGCGGGCAGCGGTACGAAATACGACAGCGACGAATAATCGAGATCTTGAGCGAAATGATATCCGTCTCCTCGAACGCTCAGCAAGAACAGCTGATCCCCTGCATGGCAAGCTTCCCATTTACAGCGCCCGTGCCTCAAGCGGCCAGGAGCGCTCCACTGTGATGCGCTCCACTCTGGGCACATCGACGTCACACTGAGAACATCACATCAAACATATTGACTTACATTCGCCCGGGGTTACCGAGCACATCGGTCACGAGACGACTGGGGCAATCAAGACCGTTCTTCACAGGCTCCTGCTGATACACTTAGTAGCTACCTTCCTTCGGGGCCTCATTCTCAAACTCTTGTGGCCAGTGTCAGGAACTCTTGCCTACCGTGTAGAATTGGCGGCCCCAGCGACACGCCAACAGCACGTGACGGGAGAGAGGGAAGATCTCGGGACGTCGACGTCCGGGGGCCAGGGTGTGCTTAGCGTGCCGCGTCACAGCGTGATGGGCCAGAACCGGCGGAGCGACACGCGAAGCAAACGTTCCCGACAGAACATGCTGCGGCCCTCCCTTCGAGACCCGTTCGCGCGCTAGAATGCCATCTGTGCAGCGTTCGCTCGGCACTTGCACTCGACCACGAGACCACTGCCGCGCCACTTCCCCGTCTCGCATCTTGCGCGGCTCCCCATGCCGCCTGCCAGTCACCCTCATCCGAGCTCCTCCTTCCCCTGCTTCCTCCTTGCCTCCCTCCTCCCCAGACCCCCGTCCCCCCTTGCCCTCCCCCTCCCTCCTCCCTCTTCTTGCGCCTCCTCCTCATCCTCCTCCTCGTTCTCTTGACGTTAGGCAAACATGAGGCAGACCTGTTGCGTTATGTGACGAGGCAACAAATCGCCGACGTAGGCGAAGCAACAAACAAAGTAGGACACGGACGGCTGCAGAAACGGCCATGCAAAGAGAAAAGGCAAATAATAGTAGCCCTCAAGGCCGAGAGTAACCCAGTCCGCGGCGACGGCTGAGGTGCGGCACCATACAACCATCAACACCTATAAAGTACTGACCGACTGAAGCCGTGCATCCCTGGCGGACGCGTGGGCAAATGGTGATAAACCCTGTAAGGTCAGCCAGAGGAATACAGAGGAAGGGATAACCCAGAAGCTCATCACCGTCCCTTTTCGCACCGGGGGCCGGTTCGCCAGTGCATGTCCTGTTCGCCGGTGGATGCAACCTGTTCGCCGGTGCATGTCCTGTTCGCTGGTGTGGAGGCGTTTCGTCATGCACCGTCAATCGGGCCCTGCTTTACGTCGGGCATGTCCCCCTACAGGAGGATTTTCGACGAGACATACGAAATACACAAGAAAAACTCCGAAATGGTCAAAAAATGTTTAGAAATCGTCCCCAGACTATTTTTGAGTACTTGTGAATATTCATCCTGTAGAGGGGCAGGCCCGACTTAAGCCCTGCTCTTGGGGACCTGGGGCCCCCTCTGGGACCTTTTTGGGGCCTCTGGGGGCGTGCGCCGTCTTGGAGGCCATGGCATCTGAGGTCTTCTCGGGAACCACCTTGGGCGAGATGCGCACTTTGGGCAGCCTGCGATGAGGATGAGGATGGCGGCGATGCTAGCGACGATTGTCAGCGATGGTGATGCGCAGTCTCCGCAACGAGCTGCGAGAGAAAGATGTGGCGGTGGAGCAGGGACCAGGGAGGCATGGGGGCAGGAGAAAGACAGGGTGGAAGGGGACAGCTGAAATCAAGGACAAAAAGAGAAGGGGCAGAAGGAAGAGGACTGATGAGCAAAGCTGGGCGAAGAGTACAGGTCGGAGGGAGAGGAGGACCAATGGAGGACGAAGGGGAGGCATTGCCATGACGGAAGACGGGCACATCCCAAAATGGGTCCTGTTCGCCGTTGTATGTGGGTCTGTTCGCCGGGGCGTTTTGCTGGTGGATGTCGCTTGCAAGACGTTGTAATTTCGACGGTTTGCTTAGACATGCAATGTCGATCAAGCCCAAAAACATGATCGCCCAGGGCATGTCCTGTTCGCCAGAATGTGGGCCTGTTCGCTGGGGGATGCGACCTGTTCGCCGGTGTATGTTAGTTGCGTCTACATCCACTGTACAAAAAAGACGGTGGGGAGCCTCTGGGAACTATGCGTGCACAATGGGCGGCACCGTGTACGGGCATCGCGGACGATACCGCTGCAGTCCCCTCCCCCCTGCAACCCTCAGATCAAGTATGCCCAGTACCCGCCCAATTTTGAATCAGGATGGCAAGGTAAATCGCGGAACAGATAACAAACCGGCGGCGTCAGACGCAAGTGTAAGGTAAATGCAGAAGTCAGCGGTGGAGTGGGAAAGAAATCGCAATCCTCCTCCTCCTCCTCCTCCTCCTCCTCCTCCTTCTCCTCCTCCTCCCCCCTCCCTCCTAAGGGTCGAAGTCCCAATCGCGCAAGCCATCCCTCCATCATTCCGCATTCCTCCTTCCTCGTCGTTGCCTTCCTCCTGCTTCCTCCCCCTCCTCCCAATTTCCCTGCTTCTTCCGTCCTGCTAGTCCTCTCCCTTTCCCCCCTCCTCATTCCCCCTCCTTCTGCTCCTGCTCCTGCTCCTGCTCCTGCTCCTGCTCCTGATCCTGCTCCTCCTCCTCCCCCTCCTCCTCCTCCTGCTCCTCCTCCTGCTCCTCCTCCTCCTCCTGCTCCTCCTCCTGCGTCTCCTCCTCCTCCTCCTCTCCTTCCTCCTCCTCCTCCTCCTCCTCCTCCTCCTCCTCCTCTCCTCCCCCCTCCTCTCCTCCCCTCCCCCTACTCCCCTACTCCTCCCCCCTCGTCCTCTCTCCCTCTTCTACTCCACGACTTCTCCCCCCCACCACTCCTTTCCCCCCATGCTATTCTCTCCTCCTCCTCCTCCCCTCCTCCTCCTCCTCCTCCTCGTCTTCCTCCCCCCCTCCCCCTTTCAGTCCTCCTCCAGATCCTGTTCTCCCCCCCACCACTCCTCCACGTCCTCTCTCCCTCTTCTACTCCACGACTCCTCCCCCCCCCACTCCTTTCTCCCCCCATGCTATTCTCTCCTCCTCCTCCTCCTCCTCCTCCTCCTCCTCCTCCTCCTCCTCCTCCTCCTCCTCCTCCCTTCCTCCCCCTTCCCCTGTTCAGTCCTCCTCCTCCTCCTCCTCCTCCTCCTTCCTCCGGATCCTGTTCCTATCCTGCTCCTCCTCCTCCTCCACCTGCTCCTCCTCCTCCTCCTCCTCCCCTTCTCCTCATCCTCCTCCTCCTCCTCCTCCTCTCCTCCTTCTCCTCCCCTCCTCCCCTCTCACAATTACTCAATATGAATACTACTCTCCTCCTTCCCCTGATGACGGGTTGGGAGTGTTCGCCCCCCCCCCCCCGCGTACTGTTTTTTACACACAAGATTCCCTGGAGTTGGGTTTTCGCGTGCATTTTTTTCAAAATGCTGCTCTCGCTGAGGCGCCGGCCTCATTTTCGGGCCCCGCTCGTTCCGAATCGTGCTGCCGCTGCAGCGCTGGCCTCATTTCCGTGCTTCCGCTCGTTCCGAATCGTGCTCCCGCTGCAGCGCTGGCCTCATTTCCGCGCTTCCGCTCGTTCCGAATCGTGCTCCCGCTGCAGCGCTGGCGTCATTTCCCGCGCCATGCCACGGCATGCAATGCAATGCTAGGTTGCGTTCCGCTGCGCGATGCCATGCCTTCAGCCGAAGCTGTGATATGCAATGCTTAAGTGCCACGTCGTGCTATGCCATGCTACGCTTTGATCTTCAACGCCATGCTATGCAATGTTATGTTCGGGGCCGCTGTGCGATGCCATGCTTTGCGTTGCAAAGCCTTGTGATGAAATTCTTCACTATGCACGCCACGCCATGCTGTGACATACTACGCTTTGCGGTGCCTTTCTACGCCATGCCATGCCGTGCTCTACAATGCATCGCGTATCCTTTCGGGATCATTGCCATGCTCGACATCCGACTGTGCGAGTAGAGAGGGGATCTACGCCATGGTAAGGGATGGGAGGGAGGGGTAGGATGTCAGATATGACGCGAGCGCACCTAGCTTGCCTCCCCCCCTCCCCCTACTCCCCTACTCCTCCCCCTCCTCGTCCTCTCTCCCTCTTCTACTCCACGACTCCTCCTCCCCCCCACTCCTTTCTCCCCCCATGCTATTTTCTCATCCTCCTCCTCCTCTTCCTCCCCCCCTCCCCCTGTTCAGTCCTCCTCCTCCTCCTCCTACTCCTTCTCCAGATTATGTTCTAAGCCGCACGAGGCGAAAAGTTCTTATGCTCCAGCGCCTTACTTTGCTTTGGGCCATAAGAACTAGGATGGTTGCTGATATTCCCTCCCCGCTCACCTCCAATTCCGCCGCAGTCAGACTTGACGCAACAACGCTTTCGGTCCCGGCTGAGGCGACGCTAAGGGCCAGACGACGACGACAACGACGACGAGGATGTCGACGACGACGACGACGACGACGACAATGACAACGACGACAACGTCGACGACAACGGCGACGACGACGACGGCGGCGGCGGCGACGACGACGATGACGAGGAAGTCAAGGACAAGGGCACAGAACTGTCGCCGGGCCCTGGGACCGTCAGAGACAAAGCTCCTCCTCTTCCTGCTTCTCCTCCTCGGTAACCTTCTTCTTCTCCTCCTCCTCCTCCTCCTCCTTCTCCTCCCCCTCCTCCTCCCCCTCCCCCCGCCCCCCTCCCCCCTCCTCCTCATCTTCCTCCTCCTCCTCCTCCTCCTCCTCGTCATCCTGCCCCTACCCTTTATCCTCCTCGTGCTTGTCCTCGTGGGCCTTGTAGTCGTCCTTCTCGTGCTCTTCCTGCTGTTCCTCTTCCTCGTCGTCGTTGTCGTCGTTGTCGTCCACCTCTTCCTTTTCCTCCTCCTCCTCCTCCACATCCTCCTTGGTGAGCCGGTTATTCACCGGTGGGAGAGAAGCTCTGGCAAACATGCAAACTGAAGAGTGGTTATGCCATCCGGCAGGCTCGAAGGCCTGGGAGGGACACCCGAGCAAACCAACGGCTGAGGGCGCTCAAGTTGAACAACGGTTACCCAATTCTTTGTCGTCTGAGGGTGTGGCGACACTCAAGTATCGTTTACCAGCGAGAGAGAGAGGGTTTGGCATTGGACAGCCCAAACAGATCAACACTAGAGCATCAAGCTGGAGGCTGAAGCGGTTGAGCATCAAGCTCACACCAGACCAGCCAGACCGGATACAAAGAAAACTGCGCTGCACACACTTTTTGATCTGCGGGGTGAGAGCGAACCTCTTCCGCTGAAAGCTAAGCGGGAACTGCGTTGCACACACACACACACACTGAAATTCAACCAACAATGCACAAACAAACAAACAAACAACAACTGCGTTTCTGTCGTAGTGGATGGCGCTGCCTCTTTGGACCTGCCCCCTAAATCACTCTCGCCCGAATCCTAAGCTAAATCGTCAGCACTAAGCTAAAAGCGACCAGCCAGACCAGTTGCAAAGGCTGAAGCGACCGGTCAGACCAGATGCAAACAAAAACTGCAACGCAACAAAGCATTGCAATGCCAACAACAGGTTTTTCGGTCATCATAGTGGTTGGCGATGCCTCCCTGAAGCTCCCCTAAACCACTCTCGCCCGAGTCCTAAAAGCTAAAGATCCAGCACGAAACTCAAACCAGACCAACTAGACCGGCCAGACCAAATGCAACAACAACCGCAGTGCAAAATAATGCAATGCAAACAACAACCTGCAATGCAAAACAAACGGTTGTTCGGTCGTAATGGATGGCACTGTCTCGCTGGACCTCCCCTACACCACTCTCGCATGAATTCTAAGCTAAAGCTTCAGCACTAAGCTCAAACCACACCAACCAGACCAGCCAGACCAGGTGCAATACAAATCTCAAGACAGCTCGCCGCTTGGGCCCCACCGCCAGCCCAAACGGCGAGCATAAATCGGGTGTAGCCTCGCACGCATTCGAATGCCCACTATTCGTCCTCATACTACTCGTATTTCTCCCCGTCCTCCTTCTCATCCTGATCGCCGTCGTCGTCCTTCTCCTCGTCCTCCTCCTAATCCTCCTCGTCTTCCTCGTCTTCTTCCTACTCCAGCTCGGTTTCCTATCGGTTGCGCCATGGGTTGCGCCTCGGCGGCTGGGAATAAAACCAACTCATATCGACTGCGCCATAAGTTGCGCCCTCGGCGGCTGAGAATAAAACCGTCTCCTATCGGTAGCGCCATAGGTTGTGCCCTCGGCGGCCGCGAATAACACCCTCTCCTATCGGTTGCGCCATAGGTTGCGCCCTCGGCGGCCGAGAATAAAACCGTCTCCTATAGGTTGCGCCATAGGTTGCGCCCTTGGCAACCGAGAATAAAACCGCCTCCTGTCGGCTGCGCCATAGGTTGCGCCCTTGGCGGCCGAGACTAAAACCGTCGCGTAACGGGTGCGACCAGCCAGTTCAGTTCAGTTCAGTTCAGTTCAGTTCAGTTCAGTTCAGTTCAGTCAGTTTACCTCGCAAGAAACGAATTCGGGTTACGCCCGAAAACAACATTGCAAACAAAACTACAATGCAACAACAACACCGCAATGCAAAGCAACTGCGTTTCGGTCGTAGCGGTTGGCGCTGCCTCCCTGGCCTCCCTTTAGACCACTCTCGCCCGAATCCTGAGCTACAGTTTCAGGACTAGGCTCAAAGCAGACCAACCAGACCAGCCAGACCAGATGCAACAAAGAACTGCGTTGCAAAACATCGTCCTCCTTCTCCTCCTCCTCCTCTTCATCCTCCCCTCCTCCTCCTGTGGTCGTGGTGGTTGGTGCTGCCTCCCTGGACCTCCCCGTGAACCACTCCCGCGGCACCCAACGTCGCGCACCGCGCCCTCGCGAGGCCGCCTTGGAGAAGGGCGGCTTTCCGGCAGAGTGGAGGCGTGTCCTCCTTTCCATCCTCCGCCTGCTCCTCCTCCCCCTCCCCCTCCTCCTCCTCCTCGGCCTCCTCCTCCTCCCCCTCCCCCTCCGCCTCCCCCTCCCCCTCCCCCTCCCTCCTCCTCCTCCTCCTCCTCCTCCTCCTCCTCCTCCTCCTCCTCCTCCTCCTCCTCCTCCTCCTCCCCTCCGCCCCCTCCTCCTCCCTCCTCCTCCTCTCCTCCTCCTCCTCCTCCTCCTCTCTCTCCTCCTCCTCTCTCCTCTCCTCCTCCTCCTCCTCCTCCTCCTCCTCCTCCTCCTCCTCCTGCTTCTCCTCCTGCTTCTCCTCCTCCTCCTTCTTTTCCTCCTCCACCTCCTCCTCCTCCTCCTGTTCGTGGAACGTGTTCGCTATGGTGGTGCATGTGTGGTTGCAAGAAACGGCTTTCCTTTCTCTAGGAGTGTCCTGGATCGGCGGCACGGGCCGCAGGCCACTGCGATAGACCGTGCACGCTTAAGGGTGAAGTGCTCCAGCACTAGGCTCAAACTGGGCCAACCAGACCAGTCAGACCAGATAGAAACAAAAACGGCACGACCAGCCAGCTAGACCAACCAGACCAGCCAGGTAGACCAACCTGAAACACCTGACCAGCTAGCCGTTCAGAACAACGAAGACCTGACCAGACCACGCAGATAACCTGCCCAGACCAAGCAGACCAGCCAGACAAGCCAGACACACAAGTCAGGTAGACCAACTAGATCAGCTAGGTACACCAACCAGACCGACCAGACCAGCTAGCCGTTCGGCAACAACCAGACTCACCAAACCAACCAAGCCAACCATCAGGCAGACCAACCAGACAAACCAAACCATATCAGCAACAACCTCGGTGGAGCTTCGAAACAGCAAGGCAATGCCGAAGAACTGCAATGCAAATAACTGCAATGCCGAAAAAACTGCAATGCAAAGAACACGAGTGAGCTATGGTAGTGGACTCAGAAGTAAGCTGTGCAATGCAACAATTGTGGCTGTAGTAGGTAAGCCGCAATCGAAGTACTAGACCAACCAGACAGGCCATCCAGATCAACCAGGACAACCAGACCAGCCACTCAGACCAGCCAAGTGGACCAACCAGACCAGCCAGGCACGCCAACCAGACCAACCAGCCGGACTTGCCAGACCAGCTGTAAAATCAAAGAAGACTTGCCAGACCAGCCAGTCCAGATGCAAAGACTGAAGCAACCAGCCAGACCAGATGCAACAGAAAAACTCATTGGGGGAACAAAAAGTGACATAAACATAAAAACTCGGAGGTCCGCGCGGATTTCTCGGATCGGCGCTGGGCCCCCTTCCCTGGCGCGCGGAGCGCGCCAGGGGCGGCGCCGGAGGCGCCGCTGGGGGGCCCCAGCGCCGATCCGAGAAATCCGCGCGGACCTCCGAGTTTTTATGTTTATGACACTTTTTGTTCTCCTATACATTGCAAAACACGCCGCGATGCACAAACAACTGCAATGTACAAACACAACCGCTTCTCCGTCGTGGTGAATGACGCTGTTGCCCTGGACCTCCCTTAAACCGCGCTCGACCGAATCCCGGGCGAAAGTCTTAGCACGAAGCCCAAAGCAGACCAACCAGACCAGCCAGACCAGATGCAAACAAAAACTGCCTTGCAAAATAAAACAACAATTCATAAAAATCATCAATGCAAGAAACACCGGATGTCTCAATCGTAGTGGTTGGTGTTGCCTCCGTTGACCTCCCCTAAACCACTATCGCCCGAATCCTAAGTTAAAGCTGCAGCAATACATCCAAACAAGACCAACCAGACAAGCTAGACCAAATGCAACAAAGAACTTCGTTGCAAGAAAAACAGCAGTGCAAACAACAACTGCAATGCCAACAAAAAAGGGCTTCGGTCGTTGTGGTTGGCGCTGCCTCCCTGGACCTTCCCTAAGCCACTCTGGCCCGAACCCTAAGCTAAAGCTTCAACACAAAGCTCAAACCAGACCAACCAGGCCAGCCAGACCAGGTGCAACAAACAACTGCATTGCAAAAAAGCTGCAACGCAACAACAACACTGCAACGCACAAGCAAACATGTTTTGTTTCGTTCTGGTTGGCGCTGCCTCCCTGGACATCCCTAAACCACTCTCGCCAAATTCTAAACTAAATCTTCAGCACTGAGCTCAAACCGGACCAACCTGTCCAGCCACACCAGATCTGACGCTTTAAACTCAACCTTACGGCTGAAGCTTCAAGCTTGCCATTTTCAAGCTTGGTGCCCCGCCGTGCGCTACAACGGCTAAGAATTTGCTTCCTCCCCTTCCTGCCCCTCCCTCCTTGCCCCCCTCCTCCTCCTCTCCCTTTCTCCGCCTTTCTCCCCCTCCTCCGCCCCCTATCTCGCGCCCTGCTCCCCCATTCCCCTCCTCCCCCTCCCCCTCCTCTCCCCTCCTCCCCCTCCTCCCCCTTCCCCCCCCCTCCTTCCCCCGTGTCTCCTCCCGATCGTCCTGTTTCCCCCTCCCCATCCTTCCCCCCGCCTCGCCCTCCCCGCTGGGGGCGCAGGCAGCCGGCGAGGGGTGCGGGCGGCGGGGCGGCCACGCCGCGGCGGGGGCCTCCACGAGGGAGAAGCCGAAGGCGGAAACCCTTGGCCAGATGGCGTGCGGCGAAAACCTCGCGACAGGGAATGGGAGGAGTGAACAGGGTGAGGGGGGGAGGAAGAGGAGGAGGAGGAAGAGGAGCGAAGCGTACGACGAGGAGGAGGAAGAGGAGGAGGAGGAGGAGGAGGCGGAGGAGGAGGAGGGGGAGGAAGAGGAGGAGGAGGAGGAGGAGGAGGAGGAGGAGGAGGAGGAGGGAGGAGGGAGGGGAGAGGGAGAGGAGGAGGAGGGGAGGAGGAGAGAGGAGGAGGAGGAGGAGGAGGAGGAGGAGGAGGAGGAGGAGGAGGAGGGGAGAGGGAGAGGGAGAGGAGGAGGGAACATAACGAGGAGACTTGAGGATGACAGGGCGAGGAAAGGGGGAGGAGGAGGATGGATATGGAAGAAAGGGATGCTGGTGATGATGGCGATGACGATGCTGATGGTGATAATGATTGTGACGACGATGATGATGATAATGATAATAATGGCGATGATGATGACGGTGTTGTTGATGATAATGATGATGACGATGGTGACGGCGATGGTGCTGTTGGGGATGTTTCCCCCCCCACTGCTGAGTACCTCTGTTCCGTTTACCGTTTATTGGGGGACCGTGCACAGAGACGACGAGGGAGCGAGGGTGAAGAGGAGCGGGGAAGCAACGACAACCCAACACGCAGAGACGACAACGCGAGGGGCGGAGGAACGAACAAGGAGGCGACAGACCGAAGGGACAAGACATAACGAAGAAAACGACAAGAGAAGAGCGGGCCCGAGGACTCACCTCGGAGCCGAAGCCGCGGAGCTTGCATCCGAAGAAACCCAAGTCAAAAATCTGACCCACGATGCTCGCCATCATCACGAGCAGGCTGAACATGCGTTTCACAAGAGGATACATCAAGAGACTCGATACCGACCGCTTGCACAACCACCATTTCCAAGGAGGCACGGCCCAGCAACTGTGCCGCCGCCAATCAACTCCTCGGCAACACCAACATCTGCCCCAGGGTCATCACCGCCTGCCGTGGGAGAATGGACGCTCCCCGCAACCTGACAAACGGCTCCATGAAAAAAGAGGGTCAGAACCAGGCTCGGGAAGCTGACGATGATCCGCGCGACCCTCAGGGGGCTGAATATAGTCGGGGCCCTCAGGAAGCTGACAATGATCACCAATATCCGCGAGAAGCTGAAGATGGTCAGAAATATTCTCACTAAGCTGAAGATGTGCGTGACCCTCAAGAAACTGAAGATGATCCACGTGACCCCCCCAGATGTTGATGATCAGGAACGTCCGCGCGACCCCCAGGAAGCTAAACATGATCATCCGATGCAACAGCGGGCATGAACTCCAGCGCTTTCGCGTGGAATGGGCCGGCTGGGGCGGCAGGAAGCGGAACACCTCCGTTAGGGTCGGCACCAGCGTCGCATCGAGGAAACGCTCCGTCCAGAGGGCCCGCGCGAGCCGCGTCGCCAGGAAAAACAACATGACCAGAAATATCGATCGAGACGTCCGCGCCCTGAGGTCGGGCCCGAGGCGCATTGTACAACGGCCCTGCGGACCGCCGGTTGCGCCCCTGGGTTCATGGATGAACCGCGCGCCACGCAGGAGGACCATGGCGCTGCCTGCCGCCATCGCAATGACCACCACAATCATCATCTCCGTCATCGGCACCGCCAGAAGGACCGTCAGGCCCGTCACCAAGCCCTCAAGGTCCACATGCTCCACCAGGACCACTAGGAGAAACACCAACCTGACGAAACCAAAAGCACGCCTCCACGCGGCCATGCCTTCGGTCTACGGCGATGTGATCCACGGCAAGTGGAGACAGGACCCAGCACGCGCATGACCACGGCACGAGTAGTCGCTGCCTTTGTGGCGCCGCCACGGTCTAATGCGACCTCGAGCATGCATTTGGCGGGAGCCCGCGCCGCGGCGCAGAGATTCCTGCGAGCCGCGCCTGCACCGACGCGACCAGGAAGCCCGGCGACGCGCGCAGCCACCACGATCGGCGCCGCGGCAGAAAGACAGCACGAAGGGGAGGGGGAGGGGCAGCGGCGTCGCGGCGGCCGAGCGCCGAGGAGCGACGGACAAGTTGAGACAATGCGGCTACGATGATGACGAGGACGATGATGGCGATGATGCGGCCTCCGCATCATCGGCGACAGCGAGCGTCGGCAGCAGCTGCGGCGTCTCTCAAGCGTCGGCAGAAGGGGGGGCAGCCAGGCGCGCGCATGGGGCGCGCTGGGCGCGGAAACGACCTCGCTGCGCCATGCTGCCGCGGCGACCCGCAGCCCGCGCCCCTGGGGGCTGCCCTGCGAGTCCCCGCTGCAGTCCGGGTCGTGCTCGCCGCGCCCGTTGGCGCGCTGGGCCTCGCCGCCGCTGGCGCTGTCGCCCGTGCCGAAGCTGTGCTGGTCGCCCCCCTCCATCTCGTTGGCCCGCGTCCCGGATGGGGGGCGCTGCTCTCCCCGCCATGGCTCGGCCCTCTCGCCGTCGCTGCGCTTGTCGCCCGCGACTCCATCCGAGCGCGCGCCTCGTGGCGATGTCCATCCGCTCCCTTGCGCCTCGGGCGATGGCCGGGAACTGCCGCCGCGGCCCCGTGCGCGAGCCCCGCGAGGCAGCGCCCGAAGTCCGCCCCTCCCCCCTCCGTGGCGAGCGCCCGCGCGTTCCCGCGCAGCTCCCCGGCTCATCCCCTCGCCGGCGCCGGCGACGACGCTGGGCGAAGAGGGGGCTGCCGCCGCGGCCGATGCCGCCGCCGCGCAGGGGGCGCAGCTGCATGCTCGGCCTGTCCCGCTCGACGCTGCGCCGGCGGATGGCGCCCTCCTTGCGTGGCCCCTCCGACCCCCCAAGGCCCGGGCCCTGCGGCGCCGCCCCGACCGCCCGCCCCGCCGTCTCTTGGGCGCCTCCCCCGCCGACCTCCGCCGATCTCCCTGAGAGCGCGAGCGCCGAGCTGCCCCGCTGCCGGCAGCCCCTCCCGAGGTAGCGGGGGTCCCAAACCCCCGACGTCCTGATTTTTCCACAACGTCGACCCCCAGAGGTCTGGACCCCTTCCCTGGGACCGGTTTTTCGTCCTGAGTCGCTTTTTGACGGTCCTGAGGCCCGGTAAGGGTCCCCGGAGGCCGAAAATAACCTTATGAAGCAATTAAGGACCCCCCCCCCTCCTCCGGCGAAACGATACCCCCCCCCGCACCTGGAAGCGTTAACTCCGGCACCTGCGGCTAGGGGGAGGAGGAGGAAGCACATCGCCTGAGACATCCTCGCATTTCTTAATAGAATTGGCCAAATCGCCTGAAACATCCTCACATGTCAGAATCGACTTGGCCACATCGCCTGAGACATCCTCATACTTCTTAACACAATTGGCCAAATCGCCTGAGACGTCCTCACATTTCGTACGAGAATTGGCCAAATAGCTTGACACATCCTCACATTTCTTACGAACATTGGCCAACTCGCTAAAGAAATCCTTACATATCTTAATACAATTGCCCAAAGCGCCTGAGACATCAACGCATTTCTTAATAGGATTGGCCAAATCGCATGAGACGTCGTCGCATTTCCAAATAGAACTTGCCAAATTGCTTGAGACAACCTCACATTTCTTAATAGAATTGGCCAAATCGCATGAGACGTCCTCACATGTCTTAATAGAATTTGCTAAATCGTCTCAGACATCCTCAAATTTCTTAATAGAATTTGCCAAAATGCGTGAGACATCCTCATACTTCTAAATAGAATTGGCCAAATCGCTTGAGGCATCCTCACATTTCTTCACAGACTTGGCCAAATCGCCTGATACATCCTTGCATTTCTTAGTAGAATACATTAAATCGCCTGAGACATCCTCACATTTCTTAGCAGAATTTGCCACATCGCTTGAGACATCCTCACATTGCTTAATCCTTCTCCTCCTCCTTCCCCCTCTCCCTCCTTCCCCCCCAGCTCGCCTTTTCACAGTCCTGGCAATATTAAGGCAACCTTTCAGTGCTCAGGAGAGTTCCTGCCTGTGCCTGCCGCCCTTTCAGAGCTCAAGCGTTCAGTTTTCAGATAGGATTGGCCAAATCGCTGGAGACGTCTTCACATTTCCAAATAGAACTTGCCAAATTGCCTGAGAAATCCTCGCAATTCTTATCAGCATTTGCCAAATCGCTTGAGAGATCCTCACATGTCTTAACAGACTTGGCCAAATCGCCTGAGACATTCTTACATTTCTTATTAGAATTGGCCACATCGCCTGAGACATCCTCGCCATTCTTATCAGCATTTGCCAAATCGCCTGAGACATCATCATTTCTTAACAGGCTTGGTCAAATCGCCTGAGACATCCTAGCACTTCTTAGTAGAATTGGCAAAATTACATACGACATTCTCATACTTCTGAATAGAATTTGCCAAATCGCCTAAGTCATCCTCACATTTCTTAGCAGAATTAGCCAAGTTGCATGAGACATGCTCATGATTCTAAATGGAATTGGCCAACTCGCTTGAGCCATCCTCACATTTCTTTGTAGAAGTGGTCAAATCGCCTGAGACATCCTTACATTTCTTAATAGAATTAACTAGCCAAATCGCCCGAGACATCCTCACATGTCGTAATAGAATTGGCCAAATCGCTTCATACATCCTCACACATCTTAATAGAATTGGCCACATCGCCTGAGACATCCTCGCAGTTTTATAAGCATTTGCCAAATCGCCTGAGACATCCTCGCAATTCTTAAGGAAATTGGCCTGCTCGTCTACTCGTACTCGTACTCCTATTCGTATTCCTACTCCTACTCCTACTCCTAGATCCTTATTCCGTATTAGAATATACTCCTACTCCCCCCTCTGGCCGGCAGATAGCGGGCGCATCCGGGTGGTCCCATCCTAACCTTTAAAAAACAATACAAAATCAACATTTTTCTTATTTTTTCCTCTCGACATGGACGTCCTGTCGTCCACGGCGATAATCCATTGCAAAAAATACCACAAAGAGCACACGCGCGCGTTCATGTCAGAATCCTACCGAACACCGTGTGTTTGCAAGCATTTCAACA